GGGGACAGAGGCAACATAGCATTTATGGCACGCTCAATTTGCACAAGCCTGCTATAGGCACATCTGCAGCTGGGAAACTTCAAGACGCTGTGTTTTATTCCCCAGGGACAATAAGCCAAGCTGAGCTAAAACCTCATAGGACACTCTGTTTTAAGAAGAACTATGCACAATCATGGTGAAGGTTATTCCAGAACGTTCCTCCTGATCTCAGGCTGCTGCAGTCTCTCCACATTCTGCAATTATTCTTGAGAACCGCGAATGGGAAGGGGGACCTCGCTGAGTCAGACACTGCCCTTTAGTGAGGCCCTATACCAATTTAACTTCCCACTGTTTCTTAACCTCTCTATTTTGGGCGGCACTGACTTTGCTAACGCCACAAGGCTCGTCTATGACCTTCTGCCATCTTCCATTGTATCCAAAAGCAGAAAGACTCAGCTTTAGCAAAAGCTCATTTTGGTGTTCATCTTAAAAGCCTAACCACAAATGAATGCATTTATCTTTTTGAGAGCACTCCACAGAAGGTTGTTAAAAAGACCAACAAAGCCACTGCTGTCCCAGTAATTCTCCCAAGTCTTAAGCCACAACAATGGGTAAAGTGTTTGTTGTTGTTGTTTTTTTTTTTTCAAAGAATGCCTTATAAAGGCGAAGGAAGAATTTAGGAACAAATTGAAGAATAAAATGGATATTGTGCTGTAGCTTCATCGCCTTCTTCAAATGTTTTGTGTGGTTATGACAATATCTGAGATTTAGTGGTTAAAGTGAACAAAAGTTTGTTGCCTCTGGAAAATGGAGGCTGAGAAGCCGAAGGTGAGATCGCTGTGCATGTACCTGCTGCTTGGATCCACAGGGTAGAAGGGAGGAGTCAGTTCCCACGCTCTCCTCTGATCTTCACAGAAATGCTGTGGATTGGGTACATATACATACACACAAATTTTTTAATTAAAAATGTAATTAAGCGAGTTGGTGGTGATGCACATCTTTAGTTTCAGCACTTGGGAGGCAGAGACAGGCAGATCTGTGAGTTCAAGACCAGCCTGGTCTACAGAAGGAGTTTCAGAACACAGAGAAACCCTATCTCAAAACAATAACAACAAGTCATTATAAGATTAAAAAAAGAACAGAGTCACTGGCAGGGCTGGAGTCTTATCTGTGCCTAGGACCTAGCAGCTGTTCTAGCCAGGCTTTTCCATCTTTCTTTCTTTTTTAGTGTATTAAATTCTTTTGTTTAGAGGATTTCATATATGAGTACACTATAGTTGCGTTATTTCTACCTCTAACTCCACCCATATCCCCAATCGACCCGTTCTCAAATTCATGATCTCATCATTCATATGTGTGTGTGTGTGTGCAGACAATGTGTATATATATATATATATTACATAATATGTATATATTAATTTGTATGTATATACATTCCTCTGTGTGTGCAGGATATATATATATATATTCATTCATGTATATATACATTTCTGTGTTTGTGTATTTGTAAAACCTACTGAGTCCAATTATTACTGCCTTTACTTGCATGAGTTTTGGGATGATCACTTAGGATTGTGAGCTCATCACTAAACAAACAAACAAAAAGCTGGTTCTCCTCCCAGTAGTCACTACCTTCCGATAGCTCTTCGTCTACTGGTAGGGACTTGGGAAATCTTCCTCCATCCATGTCAGAGTGTTGACTGGTCTGGTCTTGGCAGATCCTCTATAGAGAACTATACTTTTTCTTAGCTGAAGAATTTCTCTGTAACTGGAGGTTTCTCTCCTGCCAGCAAGTACCCAAATAACCACTCTGAGGCTTAATATTAATTACAAACTGTTTGGCCTCAGGCTTATTATTAACTAGCTCTTATATATTAAGTTAACCCATTTCTATTATTCTATATTTTACCACAAGGTTTGTGGCTTGTTACTTCACATTTGTTTCCCTGGTGGCTGCTGGTATCTCCCTGAATCCACCTCCTTTCTCCCTGTCTCTCTACTTGGATTTCCCACTGGCTTCATTCTGCCTGGCTATTGGCCAAATTGGTTTCTTTATTAGCCAATGTTAATAAGATATATTTACAGCATACTGAAGGGCATCCCACATCATCATCCCTTTCCTGTCTAATTAAAAAGGAAGGTTTTAACTTTAACATAGTAAAATTACATATAACAAAACAGTTATCAAGCAAGAATTACAGTTACAATATTTAGTCTATTTGTATTTGACAAAATTAAAAAGTATTACATTATGTATTTTATTTCTGTGAGTCTAAAGTTTCATACCTAATTTATCTTTTATCATAACTAATAATAACTAACGGTGCCCACCATCTGGCATGGATCCACATAAGACCTAAAAGAGCTTTTAAAAAAAAAAAGGGCTTCAAAACTCAAAAACACTGGAATCAAGCAGAGCTTCTTGGTAGCCACATTTTTTTTTCAGATAGTCTCTGTTTGCTGGTGGCAGCAGATGTGTGACTCCTTTAAGAGACAGCTTCCTTGATCTTGCTGGCAACACAGACAACTTTTTCAAGAGTCCTGCTATGGCTCACTTGAGTGGAGTTTGTGAGCAACGTGTTACAAGCTGCTTGGTGGTGGCATGGACCCACTGCATCCCTAGAGCTGGAGTGGTAGGCACGACTCCCAGAGCTGGTGGTGAACATGCCTCCACCATGTTGGAAAGCCAAATGGGGTGGAGTCAACAGCCAAAGCCACAGCATTGGTCCTAGCCATGCCCACTTAACATTTTAAAATCTCTCCTGGTCAAAAAATGATTACAGATACACAATAAAGCTAGATTTAGACAAAAACAAAACTCTAAACAGGTCACAGTGTGTTTTTAAAAAATTTGTGTAGGCTTGAGAGAGAGAGGAGAAGGGATAGAGATAGGTCCTGCTTTTGTTTCCACAGAAGGTGAGAAACCATGAATTCCTTCCAGGCTATTATGATTTGATCTAGCAAGACCCCCCTGAGAAGCCTCCATGTGAGTGATGGCCCAGGTGATCCAACATCCAGAACAGTTTCAAGGCAACTGGCTGAAACTATGTAGCCTTACTGACTACTACAGACAAGATTTAACCATAGTTCTAAATTTTCTCAGAATCTCCAAAGATTACCAGTACCACCAATCAGCAGGAAATAGTATAGAAAACTACACCCAAATTCCCAAAATTTTGTTTGTAAATATTTGTTTTCATTTAAAAGGGGTCAGTTATAAATGATTAATGGTCATAGTCAATCTCTTTCTAAAGAGAAAAGGAGGATACAATATAGAAATGATGAAAAATATGGATTATTAAATCTATTTTAATCCAAAAAACAACTGTTAATCTCAAAATACTTTATATTGGTATGGATTTTGGTTTACTGATACAAATTTAAGGTCAATTTTGTTATACATATTTCTACTCTTGTTTAAGGTATTGCATTTTTGCAGCTCATTTAAAATGGAATATATAGTTAAAATACAAATATAAATAAATGATAGAATATTTTTTAAATATTTTCTAAATATTGTTACTATAATTCTTGCTTGATAACTGTTTTGTTATATGTGATTTTACTATGTTAAAGTTAAAGCCTTCCTTTTTAATTAGACAAAAAAGGGGAGATGATGCCCTTCTCTATGCTGTGAATATGTCTTATTACCATTGGTTAATAAAGAAACTGATTTAGCCAATAGCCAGGCAGAATGAAGCCAAACAGGAAATCTAAACAGAAAGACAGGGAGAAAGGAGACAGAGTCAGGGAGACACCAGCAGCTGCCGGGGAAGCAAGATGTAAGGTAACAAGCCATGAGTCTTTTGGTAAAATTCAGAATAATAGAAGTGAATTAATTTCAGATGTAAGAGCTAGTTAATAATAAACCTGAGCTAATAGACCAAACATTTTGTAATTAATATTAAGCCTCAGAGTGGTTATTTGGGAACTGGTGGGTAAGAGAGAAACTTCCAGTTACATTTCTCCTCTCTCTTCATCCTGATTGGGTTTTTTTTTTCTTTTCAGAGAGTAAGAACCTTGTTGCCTTAAACTTCAGATAGAATAGATTGCCAGAACACTGACACTGAACGTCCTCAGGCTCAGCAACCATTTTTTCCTCAATAGCCCACATGGCTACTGTCAAAGACTGGGAAATTATCCTATCTTGGGAAGTAATGTGCCAAGTGCATTGGACAAATGAGACTACCTGGAGAGCACCACAAAAGAGACTGTATTAGCTACATTATACTAATTATGTGTCAAGGGCAAGAGGTCCTTGCACACACCAATAAGCTGGAGAATCTAGGAAAGGGTCAGCATGCAAACTCGTCTCTTCAGGGAAGGAGATGTTTACCTGTCTTCCTCCAGGCATGCCGGGAAAGGATGCCATCTACAATCTGGTGATCCTTTGCTATCCATAGAGCTGGGTTTCACCCGTATCCCCAGAATTTATGTTTCATTTATCCCAGACCCTTCCCCGCTAAATATTGAGCATTGCTTCTGAATCAACAGAACCCATCTTTATAGAAGAAGCCAGACGTTCTTCGTAAAGAGTTTCAATGTAAACATTTCTTAACTTTATTGCAACTTTGGACTGAGTTCATTGCCACCAGGAAATTTTTTTTTCTAAAATTTTTCTGTGATTAAATATGGCTGGTGTCAGACTCCAAGAAATTTTGTCTTAGCACTGGCTAAGTCAGGTTGAACTAAGTTTCATTCTTACCTCACCTGGACCAATTCCCTGCCTGCTGTGACACTCACAGGGACCCCCCACAATTATAAAATATATTCTGTGACTGAATAGCTATATATCATGTTATTAATAAGATATCATAATGCAAACTATGTATATAATTTTCTGAAAATATACATATGTTCTATATGATATCACAACATTATATAGACATATAACATTTCTTAGGAAAGTATATAAATTGGTAAGCTTGATTTGCAGGGCCATGGTATATTGGCATGCTGACAACCTCTTAAATTATGTATTTTTAAATCTTAGATATTAATAAATATTTTGCATTTTACAGCCTGGAAAGGAGTTTTATCCTAAAGACGAAAACGGTCAGTGGGTATACCACAAAACAGATCTGTGCGCCACTTGGGAGGTGAGTTCATGTGGGCATCTGTTGTAAAAGGTGGGCATCTATTGTAAAAGGTCTACATTTTTACTTATGATTTCTATCAGTGCTGCACAAGCCTGGATAGCTAAAACCTTTACATTCAATAATACGTGACAGACTTTCTAGCCACACATGCAGATGTAAACCTCCACCTGTAGGTGCTCTGTGTGTGTGGTGTGTGTGGTATGTAGTGTGTGTGCTGTGTGATATGTGTGTGTGCATGTGTGTGGTGTTTATAGTGGGTGTATGTGGTATGTTTGTGTGCATGTGTGTGGTATTTGTGTTGTGTGTGGTATGTGTGAAGTATGGGGTGTGTGTGTGGTGTGTGTGTGCGTGTGTGTGCATGTGTGTGGTGTTTGTGGTGTGTGTGTGTATGCATGTGTGTGGTATATGTGGGGTGTGGGGTGTATGTGTGTGTATGTGGTGTGTGTGTTTGCACACATATGCCGTGGAGGTCAAGGCCTATTTTCTGGGACCATGTGTGTCCTGGAGATTGTACGCAGGCCTGGCAGCAAGTGCCTTCATCCACTGAGCCAAGCCAGCCACCGTTCGTGGAGAAAAGTTCTGAATTTTTCTTCTTGAAGACAGTAATTTCCAGAAATGGAAAGAGAAATACAGAGACCGTGTTCTACTAAAATAGCACTTTAAAGCAAAATGGTATAGTTCACTAGTTTAAAACCGAGTTTTAAAAATTAATGTGATATCTAAAATAAATGAACTCAAAATAGCCCATTTCCATTTCTGGACCAGCTACTGGCTCTTTCCCTGGGAGTCCAGGGTGAAGAAATAGAGGAACATAAGAAAATTATTATGAACACATTTAGGGAAGGGATGCACTATGCTGGTCTGGGGATGGGTTAGTGCAGAAGCCTCGCACTGAAGCAAGCATTTCCTCCACCAGCACCTCACCCGCCTCCACCAGCACCTCACCCGCCCCCACCTGCACCTCACCCACCCCCACCTGCACCTCACCTGCCTCCACCTGCACCTCACCCACCCCCACCTGCACCTCACCTGCCCCCACCTGCACCTCACCCGCCTCCATCTGCATCTCACCCGCCCCCACCAGCACCTCACTTGCCCCCACCTGCACCTCACCCGCCTCCACCTGCACCTCACCCACCCCCACCTGCACCTCACCCGCCTCCACCTGCACCTCACCTGCCTCCACCTGCACCTCACCTGCCTCCATGTGCACCTCACCTGCCTCCATCTGCACCTCACCCGCCTCCCCTGCCAAGAGAGCGAGGATGAGTAAGGATCCTGTCTACTTCCTCCTAGGGGGTCACAGCTAAGGGTCCAAACCACACAGCACTCTAGAAGGTTTTTGATACCTGGAGCCTATATCCAAAGGCCAAATACTGACTTCATTGTTGTGATGAGCTTGGGCGTCTGGCACTTCTTTCTAAGAGGCTGCCAGGGAAAAGAAAATGGGTTCATGACCCCAAAGTAGCAAGATGTTTGCATCAGAAGAAAACTTATCTCTGTAATATATCCCAAGATAAACGGAACAGAGAACCAAGAAGCTTTGTGTCAAAAGACATTAAAAAGAAAAATCAGCTACATGAATAACAAGGAAGCAAACAAGCAAAAACACTAACAAGGAAACATTTAGGAACACACTAAGAAAAATGAGAATATATATTAGAAGCAGCCAATAATTAGAAAGAGTATAAATTTTAAGTATCAGAATGAGGAAATCCCCTAGTATGAAGAAGTGGGGGGAGGCAGAAAATACTTCAGTATGAAAGGAAAGGTTAAGCAATAGAAAGAATAAAATTGAACTTCCTGGCTAAGAGGAAGTAGATAAAATGGCAGTATTTGAAGATAAAAAGACGCTGAGTAGCAGGTCATAGTGTACAAAAGAGGAAGAAAGAAGCCTGTGCCTGCAGGGTGCTGGGAATGGGTCTGGGTTCTCAAGAAAATTACCACATAATCTGAGATATTCATCAATGCAGAAAATTTTCCTTCTGCAGAGGGGTGTGCTGGTGTTAAGCCAAGTAAGCAGTCATACCAGCTTCATCCACAACTCAAAGGGCCCTGTACCTCATCTGATGGACTCGGTCAGGCCCAGCCTCACACTTTTATGTGATTCGCTGATTTAAATCTTAGGGAACAATTGATAATCAGAATGCACCCTTACACAGAATGTAACCTTGAACACATGTTTTGATTTCAGGAAAATGCTGACCTGGGAAGAGATTTTTGCTAAATGATATTTTTTTATGGTTGTCTTTAAAAATAGTGTTTCCCTTGTCTTACTTTACCCTCTAATAGAAAAGGCAACACATTTCTTTCATATTTCTCACAATGGTTATAATGAGATCTCAGAATATCAAGAAAAATACTTAAAATTAAACCTTCCAGAATATAGTAAATACAGCAGTAAAGGGAAAAACTAGAATAATAAAAAGTAATCAGGGGGCTGGAGAGATGGCTCAGAGGTTAAGAGCATTGCGTGCTCTTCCAAAGGTCCTGAGTTCAATTCCCAGCAACCACATGGTGGCTCACAACCATCTGTAATGAGGTCTGGTGCCCTCTTCTGGCCTGCAGGCATACACACAGACAGAATATTGTATACATAATAAATAAATATTTAAAAAAATAAAAAGTAATTAGTTGAAAAGAAGGCAGGAAAAAAGGAAAATAAACAGATGAAAAAAAGTAAATGCCCATCTGGAAATCTTAGTGATATCAATAATCATAGAATATGGGTAGTATAAGCTCCTCAATGAAAAGATAGTTTTCCAAATGCAAAAATTGAAGGCCTATTACATGGTGTATATGTGTATGCGTGTGTGTGTGTGTGTGTGTATATACATATAGATAGATTTGCATATAAAACACAATTTTAAGTAAAAAGACAAAAGTATGTCAATAGACAGAAACTGTAGAAAAAAATATATCAAGTTAACTTTAATCCAAAGAAATTTGGGTGGCTATTTCAACTTCTAAAAATAAGTTTTGGCATGATGCCTACACTTAAACAACATAAAAGAGGAAGAGGGCCATCCATGTTTATGATTAAAGATTTCAAAGCCTCTTACTAATTAAGACAATAACTATACATAAAATCTGTAGGATTTATGAGATCCGTGCACAACCTTATGACATACTTACATTCACAGAACACTCCAGCAAAATACAGCAGAGGAACAGGAGAGATGGCTCTGTGATTAAGAGCACTTTTTCCTCTTGCTGAGGACCCAGATTTGGACACCAGCACCCACATGGCTCCTAATGACTGTCTATAACTCCTATTCTAGAAGATCTGATGCTCTCTTCTGGCCTCTGTGGCACTGCACATAATGCATTGCTCGAACATATATGCATACACACACACACACACACACACATATATACTCATAAATAAAAGTGAGTGTTGTGGAATATTATTTTAACTGAACAAAGATGTGATACATTTGTTTCTGCTACAGAATACTGCTTTAACTGTGTAAGGGATGTGTTACATTTGTTTATGCTGCATTTGCTTAATTTTGTAAAGATGTGTTGCTGCTTCACCTTGCCTGCCTAAGGCACCTGATTGGTCTAATAAAGAGCTGAATGACCAATAGCTAGACCAGAGAAAGAATATGCGGAGCTAAGAAAGAGAGGGAGAGAGAGAGAGAGAGAGAGAGAGAGAATAAGTAAGAGAAGAAATCTAGGTTTGCGTGAGAAGAAGATAAGAAGGATAAGAGAACACGGGAGAAGGAGCGGGACACGCCAGGAAGCCTCCAGCCAGAAAACATGAGAAGCAGTGAAAGTAAGATATACAGAAGAAAAGAAATATAAAAAGCCCTGAGGCAAAGGGTAGATAAAGAGAAACAGATTAACTCAAGTTAAAAGAGCTAGCCAGAAACAAGCCTAAACTAAGCCAAATATTTATAACTAATAATACATCTTAAAGTCATGGTTTGGGAGCTGGTTAGTGCCGCCCCTCCCCCATAAAAAAAATCTGGTAGCCTGGTACAAATAAGTCTTTAAAAAAAAAGGAACATAAAACACACATAAACAGAATGCCACCTTTCTAGACCCAGTGGAAACCAACACAATGTCTTCTCATCCACAAAGCATTTCCGTGTCTTTAAGTATCCCAGTTATGCAAACTGTGTGATCTTATTAAGCTGGAATGAAAGCTGAAACCAAGAACAAAAAGATGCCTGAGAAAACATCAAATATTTAGAAACAGAGAAACCCATATAAATAATTCATAAGACTAAAAGGAAAAAAACCAACTATATGCAATCCATATATGTAGCGGCGTAAACGAATGCAGACAGAGTGTAAATATATATATATATATATATAGCTTTAATGTAGAAATAGACTTACAGAACCACCGTTCCCGCGGAGACCAGGAAAGCAGAAGCGAGCAGCTCGGAGCTTGCTCGCCAAATTTATAGGCAGACATTAGCCCGAGGCGAACACGCCCCTTAAGGGGCGGGACTTATCCCTACATCTCCCCTTTTTGTCTAAATAAGACAGAACTAAACCAAATACAACTACATACAATAACAACAAATAATAAATACAACAAACAATATTGAGAACAAAAGCTTTGCTAAACATTCTATCTCAAGAAGTCCAAATAATGTAAAGAGTAACTACAATTATATAATCTTCAACTCAGTCAAAGATCTGAGAAGGGAATAAACACTACTCAACAAACGAGATATATCCAAAATGTGCAACAATTGACAGAGACAACTGACTACCTTGGCAATCACCCAAAGTCTCGTTTGCAACGTTGAGTCAACCAATTTTGGCTAAGGCCTAACATAACTGACATACCATTATTAAAGGCAAGGAACTTTTCAAAACTATCTTACCCTGTCTTGGCAGGATATGACAGTCCTGTTTTATCCATTGATGCACGCTCTGTATCTGTGTCAGTGGTTGAGGTATGGGCATTTCTTTGCCCAAAGGCCAGTTCTGCCAAATAGAAAGGCTCCAGATGGAGTGTTTTTGGTGCTCAACATTCTCTC